CTGTGTTAAAGGGCTCTGAGCAGAGTCTAGCATGTTTTAAAGCTGTGCCTGTGTTAAAGGGCTCTCTTGCCCTTTTTCTGTCTTTGCGCATTCTCAGTGTTTTAAGGTGTCTGGCGCTATTCTCTGTACCCTTAGAGAGATGGAACATCCTTCCGGGCAGACAGAAAGGGCTCCGGGGCCCTGGTGATATTTTTTTTAGCTTGTTGGCTTTTTCTGGTCCTTTGAGGAAGCAGAAGCATCAATGAGAGCTGCTTGCTTTTGTGAGGAGGCACCATCAGAAGTCCAGTACACATCACAGCTGCTCTTAGAGAGTCATAGGTCTTCACAATGAAACAGTAGTTTAACATTTTTATGCTTAATGCATTACATTTGTAACCAAAATCATCAAAGCTGGCATGAGCTAGTAAAATTAATAAACCCACTTTTCTTAGGCTGACTGCTTGAGGAAAGGTTTAGCATGACACTTTAATGGAACGTCATTGTTCAGACTGCAGTATGCTGTAACTTAGTCATCAGTGTGCATATCAGGCTTTAATTCAGCAGAGTGTGAGCTTCTGTTCTAAGCAGACTCCTCTGTTCGACAATGCTAGCTCTCTCTGCACTTACAGTAGAAGTTGAGAGGAGGTGTTTGTAAGTGCCGGCGTAAGTCTGGCTCCTGGGTGATACTAATGCACCTTTCGGGACTGTGAGTGCACTGCAGTCATTCAGGGTTTGTTTTCCCTGATGGTCTGTCAGCTGCACCAAAGAAACAGGTCTCTCTCTCACTCTCTCTCTCTCTCTCTCTCTCTCTCTCTCTCACTGTCTCTGTTTCTCTTTCTCTTTCCCTATCTCCTTCTAGTTCCCTCCATCCCTATCTTCCACTGTCTCTGATTCCCCCTCCCTCCCTCTGTCTGTCTCTTTCTCGCAGCCTCCCTCTATTCTCTGTTCCCTTTTCTTCCCTTGCACACCCCTTATTGCACACAAATGATGAATTTCTAATGACCCACTTTTCTTAGGTCTGGATGGTTGGCTGTTCTCTGTGATTTGAGCGTCGTGATTGCCCTGGACTTTTTGGAAAGGAGCAGACAGAACTGCCCATTTTTATGCAAAACAGGCAGTGCAATTTTTCTGATCTATGTTTACTAGATGACTTGGGGAATTTTTGGGTGATAGTTTGAATCTGATTAAGCAGCTTGTTTTTAATGGTGAGGCACAGATCAAAGGCCCCATCTGACCATGTAGGCTGTCTTTGCAGCTGTATCTGAAAGGTATTCTCTGAAAACAAGCTGACCTTTGGAAGTTAATGGAAAAACATAAACACACTATATAGAAGCTAACTTTTAAACCATCTCACTGCAAAATTGAGCTGAGCCTGACCACAGTCCTCAGAACACTGTTAGCTGGGTTGTGACAGTTAAAAAAAATAACATATTATCAGACTAACTAAGCTGACATCTCTGTCTATCTGTAGATGTATCTGTAGATGAACCTGTGACTTCTGTACCTTACGGCCTGAGAGCTTATCCTACCTTGGGTTTGGTTTTAAATGTAGGTCTGTGAATCTGAAAACAGACATGGTGAATTTGAGTGGTTTAAACCTGTCCAACATCAGAATGTGGTCTGTAAAACATGTTTGCCACAGTAAACACACAGTGTGCACTTCCTGGAACTTACACAGAAAACATAAACAGCGTTAATATTGTAAATTATGTGGCTGGTTTATCTACTCTTACTGAGGTGTGTTTGGCTGCTATTACTGTTATTCCAGAGAGTGCTTGTGCTTTTAGATGAGTAACAGGGCCAGCGGCTGGACCACCTGCAGGTCAGGCTAGGAAATCCATGTGAAGCTCAGCAGCTTTGGGCCTGGCTGGTACTCGGCTGGGAGACCAACTAGGAACGTTGGGTTGCTGTTGGAAGAGGTGTTGGTGTGGCCAACCGGTTAGCCCACTGTGCTGTAAAAATGGCTCTGTCTTTTGGATGAGGTCATAAAAGATCCCTGGGCATCTTTCAAAAGAGCAGAGGTGGTTCCCTGATGTCCTGGCGAAAGTTGTCCTCTGTGGCACTTTTAAAATCTGGTCTTCTAATCATCTAATTGGTGAATTTTCTCCTGCCCCTTCACCACCTTAGCTACTGTGTAGTGAGCTTACTGGTGCAGAATGTCTGCCGTTGTATCATCCAGGTGGGTGCCGCACTGTAGAGGTGGGGATTCAAGTCACTGACTCTCGACTACTAAGTGACAAATTTGATGACTCGACTTGACAAAACTAATGGATAGACATGGACTTGAGGGTAAATGACTCGATACTTGGACCCAACTTTGACCATATGACTCGAGAAGGTGATATTATAGTCTTCCCTCTGGATACCATTACTTAAATGTTATATTTTCAATGTATATTAAGTCTCTGCTGTCTGCAATTTCAGTTGGCTGAACGCACAGAGATAGTTTGTTGGAAAGATCGCTCTTTGCAAACACACTTATGTAAAAATTGTAAGGACCTCTAATATATAAAGAACATATCCTGTGATGGACTGTGGCGAGTTTTTGCTGCAGCAAGTTTTAATCACTGAAGGTAAAATATATTGACACGTGTAGGAACTCAAGTTACATGACTCATAGCTCAACTTGGACTTGAGTCACAAATCTGATGTGACTTAACAGCAAAAATGATGGAAAGACTTGAACTCAACTTGGATCTGAGGGCAAATGACGCGAGACTTGACTCGGACTGCAATGTTTTGACTCGAGCATTGACTCTGACTCGCCAAGGAATGATTTGTTCCCATCTCTGCTATACCGTGGAGGTTGAAATAGCTCCTCATTGGTTCTGTAACATATATTCATTCACCTGCAGTTCTTTTGTGCTGGTCCCAGTTTTCCTGGAGTGTGTTGTTCATTATCTCATGCTGTGACTGGGCCGCTGCTCCAGACCCTGTTGATCAGATGATTGCCTTGTCATGTCACACTTTCTTGACTCTTTTGTTCTCTTTCAGATGTGGAGATGAGGGAAGAGGTCAGCGGTGGTGCAGGCCAGATGGAGGTAAGGGATGAGTTTTACTGCAAGTCCCATATGGCTAGACCTTCTGGACAGACTCTGTTAATGTCCTGTTGCTAGATTTATTCATATTGCTACCACTCAGTCCAAATAATCGTACCTACTCGTTTTGTCTATTTAATTCATTAGTATCTCGTCAGACTTAAATGATCCCTGCAGCCTCTTACATCTGGTACCAACAGACCAAAACGTCCCTCAGCCGGCAACAGTTTGGCACTTCAGAGCTGACTGTTCCCTGAAAGAATGTTCATGCATCTCTTGCTCTTGTTTGGCACCACAAGCAGATTATCTTTGGTTGGGATCACGACGACTCACGGCACCCATGCCTGTATTTAGCGTCTGCGCTCCTTATCTGCGACACCTTGGTCTGTTTCCTCATTTGAAAGGGCTGCAGGCTTGTTTTCAGACGAATGCAGATCATTATTGTTCTGCTGTATTCACTGGAGAATGTTTACTCGATCTGATCTGATCCAAGCTCGACTGTAATCATGTCACTTTCTAAACGCAACAACCTTCTTACCTAAACTTTTCTCTCCTCCTCTGTAATAAGTTATTTCGAAGCTCTAATTTGTCTCTGTCGGACACACATAATTTTTTAAAGACCTTTCCCTTGCCTGCGTGTTGATAGCTCCATGAGGGTTCCTTAGTCTCCTGTTTGCTGAGAACGTTCTAGGCCTGAGGGATTCTCTGCTACTCCCTCTCTTTTTCAGTAGATCACTGTCGTCTTCACTGCTGCCCGAAGGCAGTTACCCTCCACCATGTGAAACTGTCAGCTTATAAGAAGATTTTAGTCTAACATTGGCATTTTCTTCATGACCAAAGGTTTCTGGTCTTGACGAGTTATTCATTTTGCACATATGCATTAAGGGAGATAAGAAATGGTCTAAGTAAGTCTGCTCTTGAGTATATTTTCATTAAAATTATATCTTAAAAAGGCAGGAAACGAGTGTTAATGGACTGGAACTCTCTCTTCAGTTAATCATGAACCGGTGTTGATTTCGGCAGCTGGTTAAATGACTGCCATGTTGTTTACCCCAGGTGGAGCACACGCTGAGGTCAAGTTAATAGAATACAGCATAATAATATAATGGACATGATGGCCGATAACCATGTCCGTGTCGAACAATGTGTCCTTTGTGTTTTATCTTCAGCCTAAAGTAACGTAAATATCCCCTTTCTCTAACAAGTTTCAGAAAACGAAAGCCTTAAATATAATAATTTAGATCCAGAGTCTTTGCAAAGGCTTTGTTCTACTTGTGCTGTAATTTTTAGAGTTAATTAAACTCTATGTCTCTTTAAGACTGAATTACTTGGTTATAATGTCACTCTGTTTTTAATTATGCATTTCTACATCGCCAGCTTTTTATTGCTGCCTCCCTAGAGCCACTCCATCAGGTTCTCTGTGTTTGCAGAGTGCTTTTTACACTGTAACTGTTGCCACACTGACATAAATCACATATTAATCTTGACCTCGGGGGTCTTTGTTTCCCAAGACATGACTGCTCCTGTCAATGAAACCATAGCAAGGCCCTCATACCAGGGGGAAAGTCTGCCTTTGTTTGCACCTCGATGCATGGGGCTGGTGTTTTTCCTCTTTTTTGACTGTTGAATTCCTAGGGTGACTCACCTCTCCCTCAGTCAGAGCACCAAGACACGCAGGTAGGAGACAGGCTGGCTTTCACATGACAAGACAGGCAGAAAACACCATCGCCGGATCTGTGGGGGAACCGGCCCCAGAAAGTACTGTAGGCAGTGGGGGTTGGTAATACTGCCCTCGGGGTGATGTTTGAAGTTACACCTGAGCAGTCAAGGAGCAGGCGGTGGCTTTTTCCCACCTGCTTCCTGTGAACCCAAGACTTCAATCCACAGGTCTGGACAGCACCTGCAGTTGCGAAGAAGAACACGGAAAAACACGCAGGGTTTCGCTTCCCAAGGGGTCGGCTCCCACTCCGGAGCCGAATGCCTCGAGTGGCTGAGATGTTTGTCTCAGGAAAGCCGCGCTCAGTGCCGCCGGCCCTTAGCTTTCTGATAAATGGTACCGATTGGTATATAAATTGAAAGTATCAAATACACTTGGTTTTCATTGGAAGACGTGCTCCATGCATGAGGAGAGCGATAGAGGGCGTGCCGGGAAAGAAAGCCGGCTTACCTGGGCATGCCGGGAAAGGAAGCCGGCTTACCTGGGCATGCCGGGAAAGGAAGCCGGCTTACCTGGGCATGCCGGGAAAGGAAGCCGGCTTACCTGGGCGTGCGGGGAGCTCGTGGCTTCGCCATGATGCTCGTAAAGACAGCGCCCCCACCCCCCTCGCAGTGGATCCCTCGTAAAGATGCTCCACTCTGCAGCTAGCCCTGCACTCTTTAGCACCTAAGCTTTAGCGTTAGCTTCCTGCTTTTTGGGAAGGGGAAAACAATCGAAAAGACAAATCAGTTAATTACTCTTGTTTTCCCGTCTTCTTTTTATCCCTTTTAGCGGGGAGATCGGGCGAAGCTTCGAGGGGCGCTGGGCTGGGAAGTCAGCCTTCGTCAGAATCCTATGCAGAGAATTGCCTTCCAGGCCGGCGACCCTTATTACATTAGCAAGAGGAAGAGAGATGAGTGGCTGGCCAAGTGGAAGTTGGAGGTGAGTACCGGGTACCAGGCAGCCCCCAGGACGGCGTCGTCACGGCCGCCAGGGACAGCGTAGGCCCCCAGCGCCGGGGCTGAACGTCCAAAGCCAAGTGTATTTGATGGGTCAGTTGATATTTCATGAAGGTACCATTTATTGCACGGCTTCGTGTTCACGGGTGTCGTTCCCGCGGAATGGGGAGCAGCGAGTAGCATGTTAAAGTGCAGGGCTCTCACTGACGTTGGGGGGTCCTGCTCTAACCCCCATTACCCGCCTACCCGCCCGCCTGAAGTTCATCATTTGGACAAAAGCAATGGCAGAGGAATGAAGGCACGAATAGACGTCGTTCTGACGGCCCCGATCCTCTTCAGGGGCCTCTGAAATGTCATCGTCTTGTTGCCTTTGCTAGCCACTTTGCTAGCGGTGGCGGGATGTAACGCCTCGATCATAACTCCTTCAGGACGTGACGTGGATGTCCGGTACGTTATACTGCATTGTTGTAGTCCTCAGCATTCGCCCGGACGGAGATTTTACATGAAGCATAAAGCATTTTAAGAACATAAGAAATTTACAAACGAGAGGAGGCCATTCGGCCCATCAAGGCAGAATGTTTAATGTCATAAAGAATGTTCAACAGAGACAGTCTTATGACTGAATTCACGTGGAACGACCTGCTCCGAGGGAAGCAGGTCCCGTTGCACTGAAGACATCTGTGGTTTTAGACCTTGTGGTGGACATGGAGAAGGTGCCCTGTGACCTGTGAGCACGTCTCCTCATTTCATATGAACTGTTTCACCGTGATGCTGAGTGTAAAGGCACCTTTTGACCAACGGTTTTCCCAAAAGCCCCCGGGGCCCCTCCTGTGTTGGCTTTTATTCATGTTCACCTCCTAAGTCATGCTGACTTAATTGGCATCTTGCCAAGTTCTGATCTATACAGCTGCTAGTTACAGCTACAGTACAAGCTCCAGATTCTTTAAGGACGATATTATCGCTGTGTCACCTTCATTACCGTATGAAGAGAATCACATTCAACTTAATTACATTCATTTAGTTCATGGCTCATAATACTCTTCTGGGCCTATGAACTGTTACGTAGTCCATAAATGGAATTGGACTTTAAGGAGTTTTAAACTGTTCATGTAAAAAATAAAAAATACGAATTCACTATAGAATGAAACCTATGAGTTTGATGAGTTTAGCAATGTCCAAAGTCCAATATACAGCGACACGTGTAATTCTTCAGGTTTTATATGCAGAAGGCCCATATGGACAAGCAAGCCAAATTATAAGTGTAACCGGTAGGTTTTTGTCTGTCAGTATTGTTTGCTCTTGTAGCTGCTCCTCTGCCCCTTTTTAAAATTCTTTGAAAGATTTTGTTTGCTTTTCTGGAAGCACAGAGAGTCAGCTTGTGTCCTTTGTAGCCACTGCGCTTACTGCCTGAAAAGCTGGGGGGCCACGAGGCCCCTCGGCCCGCGACGAAACAGAGCCGTAAACCATCCTTATCGGCGCACGCAGCTGCCACTAAGTGCCGCAGCAGGGAGGAGTCTGGGGGGGGGGGGGGCGCGGGACATGCTACGCCGCCACCCCCTGCTAGGGATCCTCCTCCTCTGGGTCCTAATGCCGTCCATGTTCTCAGCCTGCCCCCGTTTAGGATGATTAGTCATAAACGTCTATCTGTAGACCTGCTGGGGAACAATGTGCCTCATTGACATAATTTAATTACGGGACCGGGTCATGCAGCATGGAACAGCACCGCCCCTCCCACACACACACACACACACACACACACAGTTCCACGCCGTATCTTCCTTCCTTCCTTCTGTTTGCTCTTCAGCAGGCAGAGCAGGTTTTAGCTGTTTTTGGCAAAGGCAACTTCACAACATTAAAATGGTCAGTCTCCCTGCTGGCCCAGTATCCCCCCCCCCCCAATATGGATATTAGCTTCTGAACAATAATTACAACTCAAGTTGGAAAACTTATCATTTTAATGCATATATATATATATATATATATATATATATATACTGTGTATGTGTGTGTGTGTGTATATATATATATATATATATATATATATATATACTGTGTGTGTGTATATATATATATACTGTATATATATACTGTGTATGTGTATATATATATATACTGTATATATATACTGTGTATGTGTATATATATATACTGTGTATATATATACTGTGTATGTGTGTATATATATATATATATATATACACACACATGCATACATACAAATACACTATTCGTTTGTTTGCTTATTTGAATGTATATCTGTGTGGACATTGCTCTGGGTGCACATTTTATTCCAATTGTTAAGTCAGATAAATATCAGAGCATTTTGTAGTCCTTTTCAAAAAATACATGTAGCCACATATGCCTTCTTTAAGGAGTCACTGGGTCAAATGTAAGGGTTAAGGCAATTGAAACAGACCATGAAATGCGCTTTCCCTTTAAGAATTCACATGAGTTAAGTTTAAAAGTTAGGTAAATGGAAACAGGCCTAAACATGTCTTTCCCTTCAATTAAAAACTAAGTAAATTGAGAGAGACTAAAATATTTGCCTTCCCCTTTAAGGAGTCACTGAGTTTAACTGATGGGATGAAAAAAGGAAATAGACCTAAACATGTGCTTTCCCCTTTAAGGACTCACTCACTTTAACTTAAGGGTTAAGAAAATGGAAACAGAGCTGGGGGGCCCCCCCCCCCCCCCCGTCCCTTTTGCTGACTTGCAGCCATGGAAATTTGACACAGTTGCTGTCGAGAGGTCTGTCTGAAGCATGGCTGAAAGGTAGTTTCAGAATACTAGCAGACGTTTCTGCTGAGATCCCTGCAAGTTCGGTGGAGATAAGAGAACGTTTCCAGACAGCGCTGTTCTTACACTGCAATCTTCTCACACTGCAATGTTCTCAGAACATTGCCTATGGGTTTGCACACAAACGTTTTTGTGTCCCCCCATGGTGTCCTCAGACAGCAGTGTCCCTGCATGGCATCCTCAGATAGCGATATCCCCACATGGCATCTCCGCACGGCGTCCTTAGACGATGGTGTCCCTGCAGAGTGTCACCACACAGCGTCCTCAAGCGGCGGTGTCCCTACATGGCAGCTCCTCATGGCGTCCTTATGCAGCGGTGTCCCCGCATGGTGTCCCGACAGAAAGTCCTGAGATGGCAGTGTCCTCAGACAGCGGTGTCCCCGAGCGGCGTCCTCAGACAGCGGTGTCCCCGCGCGGCGTCCTCAGACAGCGGTGTCCCCGCGCGGCGTCCTCAGACAGCGGTGTCCCCGAGCGGCGCCCTCAGACAGCGGTGTCCCCGCGCGGCGCCCTCAGACAGCGGTGTCCCCGAGCGGCGTCCTCAGACAGCGGTGTCCCCGCGCGGCGCCCTCAGACAGCGGTGTCCCCGAGCGGCGCCCTCAGACAGCGGTGTCCCCGCGCGGCGTCCTCAGACAGCGGTGTCCCCGCGCGGCGTCCTCAGACAGCGGTGTCCCCGCGCGGCGTCCTCAGACAGCGGTGTCCCCGCATGGTGTCCTGACAGAGCGTCCTCAGACAGCAGTGTCCCCAAATGGTATTCTCAGTGCCTCAGTATGGCGTCCTCAGACAGCGGTGTCTCAGTACGGTGCCCTCAAAATCTTTTGCTGATGTCCCCACAGGGCTTAGACGTCCCCACAAAGCACCGTCCTCACACGATAGCTTGCCCACATGATGACCTCACTGCTCCACTGCAGTGTCCTTATATGACGGCAGCATCCCTTAAATTAAGGTCACTCGGAGCGGCCCAGTGACACCAGTCACTAGAACCCGCCGGGCCTGCTGGACTTCCAAGAAGGCGGCAATAAAGAAAAGGCTTCACTAGCACTCAAGCTGTGTCAAGTGATGCCAGGAGTGTGGTTTTCTTTGAAGAAGACGTAACCCTAACCTTAAATACCGCTGAAATTTAAGTGGCATCCCCCTCCCCACCTGAATGGGAGCTTCCAGAGGTATGTAGAGGGGATATGAGGACACGGGGACCCAGGGGGATGTGTGCCAGGCCGTGGACAGTGTGTCCCGCTTCAGTGCAATGCAGTATGGGGAATGTGTTAAATTCAACCCGACCAATAAAATGGCCTCATTTTACCGACCCTCTTTTTCATGCCTGTTTGAGAAAGGTGCAGAGATGCCCAGGATGTCTGGCCACTTACGGAAACAGCTGCGTCTGAGAGACAGTGTGTGCGTGCACGCACGCATTCTCCACTAAATTAGATTCAGCTGTACTAAGTGCTAAGTTAAATATTGAAAAGTATGGACACCAATAGCTGATAGCTTCTTTTATAATGATTGTTGATTTTGTTTTGCAAGAAGTGAGATGGGTCAAGAGCATCAGTATTAACTGTGGATAAGGTCTAACCCCCCACCCCCCCAAGAAGATGGCTTCATGCAGCCTTCTTGTCCTCCTGTGAAGGCCGGGACACATGCATTCACACACATCACCATACGAGGAAAGCAAGGTTCTCTTATGTGGCACTGTAGTGATGAAAACGTTCACCGGCGGGGAGGATGCAATGTTTTCTTTGCTGTCTTGTTTTCTCTGCCTGCGTGCTGTCAGGGACACCAAACTCTGTCACTGTCTGCTAGTCATGATAATTAGCAACACCCTCTACTAAGTAATCCACGAGTCGGGTGTGAGGGTGTAACAGGACGCAGTGGTTCCCAAGCCCTGGTCCAGTTTTCCACCGGGCCACAGGGCACAGGTGGCTTTTGGGGGAGGGGTAGGTTCCTGTCGTAAAAACAGCTGTATATTTTCAAGCCACGCCTTTTTTTTTCCCAACCCCTGACAATTGCATGTTCTTTTTGCATCTAAAGAAAAAGGCAAACATTAAATTTGGCCTGCCACTTGATCCAATTTCCCATGAAATGTTTGTACAGCATAAGCTGGTCCGTGGTTGTCCAAAGTGGTTGTTCAGAGCCTGAGGAGTTGCGGAGCGAGACACGGGTGTGAGCCTCAGATTGGCCTGGCAGCTGGACCCTCTCCCGGGTTTCGGGTATAGATCGCACCATGTAAGCGAAACCTGGTGCATCTAGGCCTGCGTTCAGTCACAGATTAATGCGCGGCCACCCTGACGACATGAGTTCGCCCGCAGGCACTCTGCGGTTACGTGCTCCTCTTTGTCCCTGTCACTCTGGAACTCATTACGCTCCCTAAGTGCTAGCATGGTCGCCCAGAGATCTGTGGAGAGTCAGAAGAGGAACGGCTCTTTATGTCCTGAGGTTTCAGGCTCCAAAGATTCACTAGATTAAATTCCAGTAGATTACATTTACTGAGTGAAATCTGACAAATACTTTGTTCTGATGGACCGTCTCTGATGTTCCTCTGATGTTCCTCAGACTGGCTGGGTCTCTTGAAATACACAAAAGAAAATGTCTCAGACAGTGGTGGCTTTAAAATGTATTTGGTTAATGTGACGTTTCTCTTTTATGCTTGATTAACGTTATGTAAACCTTGTACAGGCCTGCCTAGGTTCATGTTTGCGTGCTGCCTTTTTCCGGCTGTTTCCAAATAAGCAGCCTCTCTTGAAGCCTTTTACACAATATGGTGAAATATTAGGGATTATTGTTTTGCAGCCTTTACAAATTGATGAAGATGATGATAATAGAGGAAGGTAAGAACATTTTTGTGGTTCCATGGCGTGAGCCAGGGTTATTGTCAGAACTGCAGGGTCAGATCAGGTGTATCACAGCTGATCTCATTCTTAAAGAAATGTCTAATTGCAGGATGTGAAACACTGACTCGGTCCATAATTAACTATCAGTTTGCAACAAGAAATGATGATTTCTGGATGGAGGTGAATAGCTGGATAATCGTCAGCACAGGCAGGCTGCTTTTCAGCTGTCCACACTCAAAGTGTGAGAGACATGCCTGGGGATCGATGAAGAACACATTGTTTCAGACGAACGAATCGCAAACAGCTGCTCTTTCTCAGCATCCACGGTCGTCAGTCGTAGAATGAAGACATGTGACTGAAAAAAAAAAGAAACAATGGTCTCTTTGAAAAGGATGAATTGCAGTTAAACACTGCAAGGGCCGGTTTGCTCTCCCCAAAGGATCAAAACAGAAGCCGGCCTGTACAGTGTATGACTGGGATTGTAAGCAATTTTCACCTTCTAACCTCTTATCTCAGTGTAGCGCCTCATTTTAGGCTCCAGAATGACTTCTGTGATCTGGGAGGTATTTTGCTTGGAAGTGAAGGGAGGTTATCAATAATGTAACTCGCACTGTAGTGATGTACTATTTGGGGCCCAGAATGCACTGGTAATTTGTTATGGCTCTATAAATTGGCCTGAAATTTAAGAAGGTTTAGGTAGTAGGACTTTTATAGTCTGTAGTGTGATGTGTATGATGACGGATGTGGAGGCAAGTTGGGGCTGATCCTACAAAGTTTTTGTTTCTCTTATTAGAGAAAATAACAGGGTTAGGCATTGTGTAGATATAGTGGAATTGGTGGCCATACAGTAAATATCCTTGAAACAAACACTCTCTTTTATCATATGGATAAAAGGTAAATATCTGCAGCATTTTTAATTGGAGTGCTGTTTCTCCACACATAGCTTTTTCTGATATGGATTAAAGGCTGCTGTGTAAGGCTCAATACAATGGGAGATGTTTGGAGTGATTAAAGACGCCACTGATGGTCCACTGTGGTCCCCAGTAAACAGACGGTTGTTTTGTCCCACTACTTCCTGTTCAGGAGGGAGGGTTTTCGCTTTACCAGGAAGTACTTGAAGCTGCATCCTCCTGTAGCTATGAAGTGCTTTATTGTAATCCTTTGTGTTTGCATTTTACTCTCAGAGTGACAGAAATGTGCTCGTCTATTTTTTATTTATTGGATTTATTGAACAAGGACAGCACAAAAGACAATGTTACATGTAAAAACAATGCAACCGTTGTTTTGTTTTGTCTATATTTATAGAACTACGGCAGGAGCAGAGGGACACAAAGCACGGCTTCCTCTCACCTCATTGAGATGCGTCTCAGCTGGGGGACCACACCAGTCAGTTAAAAATAATCTCAGCTCACCTAAGCTATGGATAAACTCCCTGCTTCTAAAATATCTAATGATTTGTGTGATGATTTTCCTTCATCTAAAACAGGAATGAAACTGCTCTCAGAGACCCCAGTCGCTGGCAACCAGAACAAGCCCTGCCTGCTATTTAAACTTCCTTCCTGCTTTCACAAATAGAGATTTCTCATGGAAGAGCGCGTTTTAGACCAGGTGCTCAGCAGCTGCACACACGCTTCAGATCATACGTGTCCCGGAGCTGTGAATCTCTGACCCCAGAGACCAGCGTGCTCCTTAGTCTCCCCAGAGGCCTGCAGGTTCAGTCAGACATGCGTGTGCCTTCACATAAAAACATGGCCGGAGTACAAGTTCCGGCCGGCGAGGCGGAAGGAAGCCGCCCGATCTAGTCCCCGTTCTTAAATGCAGCTCTGACAGATCTGTAGGTGTTTCTCTAGAAGGAAAGGTAAGCATTTTTATAAAGGGGAACCGGCTTGTGTGTTTGAAGGAAGGAGACAGGCTGTGTTGTCCTCAGCTCACCCGGGGCGGGCCAACAGACAAGAGGGGGGGGAGAGGTTGTGTCTCTGAGCCAGCGTCATCCAATCCTTGGCTGGAACGTGGTGCTGTGAACTCCCCCTCCCACAGGATATGACTCGAGAGCTGATTACTAACACATGTGTAACGGCCAAACCCTGAACGGCGCATGCCCTCTGGTGGCCAGCCTGGGACCTGCAGGCCCGAATGTGCTTCGGGAAAGAGGGCATTGAGTTCAAGTGTCAGGTTTCCAATTTATCCTCAGATGTAATTCATACAATGACACGCTTTGCTGGCATGACTGCTGCAGACTGCTTGTTAAAGAATAACTGTAAGTATGAGCTTCAGATAATGAGGACACAGGAACAATAATTACCACAGACAATAAATAGCAGGAAGCCATAACGCAGAGCCATAAATAACACTGAATGACACCAAACAAATAGCAGATGACTGCTGGTGATTAATAGCGCGTGCTGATGCCCATTAGTTTGATCTACGCTGCACTTTACATTTCATACCTCACAGCTGTGGACTGGCCTTTTGGCTTGTAGGTAGAAACCGTTTCTAAACATTCTTGTAGCTAACGCTCATCTGCCAGAAGGTGGGGGGTTGCCTGTGTGGGGTAAATGGAGTCTTTAGATGGGACGTTTCACTGCATTGTCCACTATGGTATTACTGTGAGATTACTTTTCTCCACAGTATGGGTTATGTTTACTGGAATGGTTATTGACTTGCTGTGAGCGTGTGTAAGATACCCGCAGTGGGCAGGTAACATCCGTGGGCACTGGGGTCAGGGCCTGTGTTGTATGGGCCGGACCGGGCCGGGCCGGGGAGCGGCTGATGTGCTATTTGGACTGGGGGGCTGGGGACCTGGGAAAGGGCCAGCCCGGTCTCTTTCAGTGCCCGTCCCTGGCTGGAGTTGGTCGGTAGGCCCTGTCATTTCTCAGCGGCCATCTCTCAGATCTGGCTGGGCCCGTGAGCGCCCTCTGTTGGTTCCCTGAAACCCGCATCAGCCTCGCTAGTCCTCTGCTCCGCTCCAGATTCATGGGAGCCCACAGGTCTCCAGCTACTTGTATTCTGTCCTCCGGGTCAGTGGGGGTCCTTTCACCCCTGGGGCGCCTGGTGCGCTCAGAGACCCCCCGTGTCACCGTGTGCTGCCTGCTGTGATGTTTTTCTGCTCTTTCTGCTCCGCTTTGATGCCAGACCCCCCCCGGCCTAGGCCGCCGCCCATCATCGCCGGTGTGCCCTGTGCCCTGTGCTGTCAGTCGCGACGTGGCTGTGTGTAACTCTGTAGTGTTTCACACAGGCTCATCACAGTGCCTGCTGTCGCTCCTTAGGCTCTCTGTAGCTTCTTAGTAAATGATTTACTGGAGGAATGGCTGCTGTGAGCCGCCCACCGGGTGTCCCCAGTGACGGTGACGTCAGCACCAGTTTAATGGGGTTTATGGCTCTGACGCTGCTGGGTCGGGCAGCCTTCCCAGGCACCCCCTGCTGGACTGATTAAAGCTCGTCAAAGGTCCCCTTTCTGCCGCCATTTTCTGTTTTTTGGCGCTTCTGCATTCAGTTTTTCAGTGCCTGGAATATTCTGGTATTTTTACCTAGAGTGTATGAACACATGGTGAATATTTAGTGTTAATGATTATCTGTATTGCTACTGTGTGTCACACATCAGGTCTTCCAGTTGCCGTGACACTCCGCCAGGCTGGGGACTGATGATTACATCAGAAAATACTGTCATTTTCGTCATTTAGATTTTTAAAAATCATTGTATTTTCTATATCTGTGCATCATCGGTCCATTTCCCCTTTATGTGTTTTGTGATATCAGAAAGCGTCCTCGAAATTAATATGAAGCGATGAACATATCCGTGCGCCATAATGAGTGGTCACCATGGAAACATGAGTGAGGCCTGTGAATGTCGCCTGCTACAGCCCCCCCAACACAGGGATGGGGGGGTCACAAATGTGTCTCGAGATGGGAAATATGGGAAAACGATGAGGATGGGAGGCATGAAACATCAGCAGAGGGCAGATCGACGACGGTGGCGGCGCCGAGCGTGTTTCCACGCCAAGGGCCCATCACGCTCACGCGTGTGCTGCTGCCAGCTCCCCATGACGCCCTTTACGCCGGCACGTGACGTGAGACGGCGGTCACTGGAGGAGGATCTCCTTGATTCTGCTGCATGTTTATGGGGACGGTGAGGAGTGTGTAACTCGTCTTCCAAGGCGTCGTTCTGAAAACACAGTCAAGGGATCATCTGTGAGAAGAGACCTCTCTACTGAAGAAGTGTCAGGCCGGATCAGAACCTCCTCAATAAGAGCAGAACGCTGTGCTTTTAGTTGCTTGGTGTTGCAGTCGGTTGCAGTGCCCCCTCCCCACCCCCTCCCCAGCTATGGAAATGAACCCCGCACTATAGATATTAGGGTGAGGACACGCTTTGCGGCCCCTTTCCGGCCAGCGTGGAGCATAGACGGCCTCTTGGCTCTCTGCCAGCGTTTGCAAGTCCTCCCCAGCCAACCAGATTCCCAGCCGCTAATCACCTGACCCTGAATTCCCAGACAAAGAAATTTTCAACATCCCCCCCCCATTTTTTTTTAACGCTAGCTCCTTTACCCCAAGAGAGGGGGCAAAAAAAAAAATGGAACCACACTGGATTTAAAGTTTGCGTGCACTGGAGTTTATGGGTATGTGAATTCCATTGTTTGCCTAATGAGATGCTGCTGTGTGCGTGTCTGTGTTTTAGCCTTGGTACAGTGAGCCTGAAATGCTGACTTAAGGTATTTCTGGAGAGTTACTACAGAGCATCTACTGCAGGCGACTTAAAGGGAAAGGGGCTCTTTGAGAGGCGCGGGGAGGCTGGAGCTGGCCAGGCTGCCGGGAGGAGGGCGGTTTGCGCAGAAAGGGCTGGCTGCTCCCGCGTGGAGGTGCCAGGCACCGTCGGGGATTGTTAGTCCCCCCCCGGTGCGCGCTCGGCTCTCCCGCGGCGTCGTTAGGAGCAGTGCTCCTTCCTGGCATCTGCCGTGTTTGCATGCTGAGCCCATCGGGCTTGAAGCTGCAAGGCTCACAACGGATATGCTCCCGGGCTGAGCTCGTGACATGCCACTGACTCACGTGTTCACGCTGTTGTTAAACTTCTCAAACTGGAGCAGGACCCGGCCGGGAGGAAGCTGGACGCTCCGTCCGTCTGCGTCGGGGTGAAGCGCTGCTGCCTGTGTCTTTTTGCAGGATGCGTCTCCATTTTTCTGGTTTAGAAACACATTAGAGATACTTTCTGCCTGCTTCACGTTGTCATTAGAGCTGCAGCTGTTTTCGGAATGCGCCCGGTATCGTTTGAGATGTAAATGCGGGACCCTTGCTTACATTCATTGGGTCCCTGAAGCAGAAAGATCTGGTGAAGATGTGAAGGACTTCAGGGTTTCAGGGCGATGGAGCTCCCGTTAGTTGTTCCAGGTGTCTGGTCCATGTGCCCGTGTGTGTGAAGGTGTCTGTTTCAGCTCACACGCTGCCCTCTCCTGGATGGGAGGTGCACTGGCTTCTGGCTCCCCTGCCACATGCCCACATGCCATGTTTTATAAAGTTCCCGATATAGTGTGGAAGTAAATGGAAAGCAGTGAAGGTTCTTCTTAAAGTTCTGTGTGAGTACACAACTGATGAGGTGTTTTACACTTGGGGAGCAGGAAAGGGGTTACTCTGGGACACCTATTCATCATAGGGTCCTCACACACACACACACACACACACACCATATGCCTTTCTTTATTTTATATATATATATATATATATATGTGTGTGTGTGTGTGTGTATCTGTAAAATGCAATGTAAATATGAAGGAAATGAGTTCTGCAGCGACAGACACTTTCATTATTAAATAAGTCAGTGATATCTGAATGTTTCCTTTGAAAAGGTTTCCAGTCTGTCAGAACGTTGCACATACAGAACATATGTGCTGCAGCCAGTAATTCAGCTTGTCTGGATGCTGGACGCTAAGCAGAATCATCGCTGCATTATTTCTGTGGGGAGTATCATCTGACAGAGTGTCTTGCTCTGTCCCTGGCTGTTGCCGTGGGTCGGTGGGATGGCCACCCTGTCACCAAGGCCCAAATCCAGCAGCAAGGGACACCAGTCTTGTGTGGAATTTGTCCTGGACAGTTGGTATCCTGCTTCTCTCTCTGCAGTGTGAGTGTCCTAGGTGATGAGCAGTGAAACTGAAAACCAAAACCTGACAAGTCTCTTATTTTGAAGCCTTTAACCGACTTGCTAAACATAGCTCTTGATTAAGGTCATATCCCTACGGCTGGATGACTGGCACAGCCAAATTCCTCCTATCCAATGAGATCTCTTCGTAAGCAATTTGAATTATCTCTCTTGCTTTTCAGTATTGACACATTTTATACCAGTGCCACCATTTTATTTATGCCAAATGTGAAGCATAATGAAATGCATGTAACTTGGGTTGTGTTTATACGTTTATGACATGAGGATGCAGCTGGTGTCCTGTGATCAACTGGCATCCCATCCTGGGTGTCCCCTGTCCTGTGCCCTGTGATCACCTGGCATCCCATCCTGGGTGTCCCCTGTCCTAGGGCTGGGCGATATCATATCGATAGTATATCGCACATGCGCAATTATCACCGCCCTGGTCAGATGACAGACGAAGCATTTGGCCGGACGCCAGCTTTTTGGTGCCATACGGACATTAATTTACGCCCATAATTTGGTAAGAGGATTAGTAGTATGGCTTAAATATTAGTGAGTGATACCCAAAAGTTAGTAATCTGTATAAATAAGACATCGCGGTGTGGTGGTGCTTTTTGCAGTTCAAAGTCTGACATTTATTAAACATAAGGATATGCCATATTTATACTAATAATGACTTTTGGACGTCATACAAAGCCTCATTAATATTTTAGCCATACTACTAAACTACTTAAATTGTGGCCGTAAATAAATGTCCGTATAGCACGAATAGCTGGTGCATGGCCAAATGTTGTGCCTGTTATCTGAAGCCCTAGTGATTATTGCGTATGTGCGATATAATATCGATCTGATAATGCCCAGCCCTACCCTGTCCTGTGCCCCGTTATGGACTGGCAGCCCATCCTGGGTGTCCCCTGTCCTGTGCCCTGTGATCACCTGGCATCCCATCCTGGGTGTCCCCTTTCCTGTGCCCTGCGATTGCATATCATACAGGATGTCCCCTGTCCTGTCCCCTGTGACTGCAAATCGTACAGGATGTCCCCTGTCCTGTGTATTTTCCTGGACTGGAGTCCACCCAGGGTGTTCTCTACCGAGGCAAGCACCAGTCTTGCTGTGATCCGGTGCTGGATACGTGCTTATCGAAAATGGACGGAGTGAGTGTGTAAGTGACGTCCTGGGAGGTTTTGCCAGTAGGATGACTGACTGTGTTCTGCTAAAGTCAGGGCTGAGCGACGAGCTATCAGTGAAGCTTGGCTCACTGTGATACCATATCCTATGGTGTATTTTGGTTATTGGGGTTTTTTTCAGCCTACAGTCTGGAGGATTCAGCAAAGCAGCACCTCCTTGAAGATGCACAGAGATGTCGTACTGCTTGTATCTCTTATGATGATAGTTTCCCATTACCACAATGCACTGGAATTATTTATTTTTAACATAAACAGCTTTGCTCCCCTTTGAGACAAACACCTATACAGACACCCCTCACTTAACGACCTACCCATTTAACGACCACCCAGACTTACGACCAGCTCTCTCACCAGTCGGCATTGTACGCTGTACGAGAACTTTGATCGTGGAAACGGCAGCGTGGCGTCTCAACGCCAAGCGTCTCATCTCGCGTCACCCTTCCTCAGTCTGTCTCAGTCCCGTTGTCGCTCAGTATTCACTACATTTGCGCTCGCAGTCTCTGATTACCTGTATTTACAGTAGGTAAACCTAAGTGATGTGAATTACAGCTGATGTCCTCTATGCTGTTTATTACAGTACACAGTACACTAGTGTATAAACATACTAAAAATGCTACAAATAGTGCAGAGATGACAATAAAACCATATATAAAGGTGGTTGACACAAACCTACTACCAGTACGGTATGCTTGAAATTTCGGTAAGGGGCAGCTTCTCAACTATCGACCAGTTCGCTTAACGTTCTGGTCCTAGGAACGGAACTCGGTCATCAAGTGAGGAGCATCTATATATATATACACACAGGTGAGAGTGAAACTTGGGGTCACAACGCAGGGTCACCCATTTACCTGGCACCCCTGGGGCATTTTGGGGAGAAAAAGGGCCCTAGAGACCCATGACTATTTTGCCAACCGTTTGAAGCGGCAACCTTCCGATCAGTAGCACAGAGGCCTAACCTGCCGATGCCTGTGACTGTGGCAGCTGAGCGGAGCTGAACCGGGCCATTCCACTGCAGTCACAGGTGACAACAGATGGTAAAGAGCAGCAGGGGGTCCATCTGGGATGCCAGCAGCCAGCCCACTCCTCTGCTCCCCCAAGCTGTCTGAAGCAAGACCCCAGAGCAGTGGAAAGATCTTTCGGACGTCACTCATTCACTTACAGTAGTCCAGCTGCTTCCACTGGCTTTTAAACCAGGGCCTATCGAATCAGCTCGTACCTGTACATACTGTATATTGGGGTCAGTGCTTGCTGCTGAAATCACTGGCTCTCATCTTTACAGACTCTAACTGTATGATTTGATATACATCACCAATCAACAGTTTTTGCACACACTGAGATTTTCTACATTTGCATATTACTCATTTAACATTTACTAAAAATATACTGAATATGAATATTCTTTGCTAACAAATACATTTACAGTTCACCATTTGAGTAACTTTTTTGGGAAGAAAATGTTGTGTCTTTGATTCATCAAGGTAACCTCCTCTAGCAGTTATAACAGCAGGTTAAAGTTAATGCATTCTTAATACATAGAACATTAAATACTGCTCTGCTTTGTGGAGGCCATTCGGCGCATCAAGCTTGTTTGAGGAGAATTCAACTAATAGCTTAAAGTTGTTAAAATCTTATCTAGCTCTGATTTAAGGAAACCCAAGGTTTTAGCTTGCACTACACTAACAGGAAGACTAGTCCATACACAAACTGCACACTGTATAAAGAAGTGCTTCCTCAAATCCTGTTTAAAAATGTTCTCCTGCTAATTTCCACCTATGGCCACGAGTTCTTGTATTTGAACTAATGTTGAAATAACTTAATATTTGTTTGAACAGTATCCAGACCTGTTAGAATCTTATAAACCTGGATCATGTCCCCCCTTAGTCTTCTCTGCTCGAGGGTGAACAGATTCAGCTCAGCTAACCTCAAGTAGATTAATTAAACAGGATCTACCTCTCCTAAATCCATGTTGGCTATCCCTCAGAATGTTATTTGCATCCAGGTAATCTACCATTTTCACTTGGATTATAGCTTCCATTATTTTTCCAGTAATGCTAGTTAAACTGATTGGCCTATAGTTTGCTGGATTACTTCTATCCCCTTTTTTGAATATGGGTGTTATATTAGCATGCTTCCAGTCAGAAGGCACCACACCTGCAGATAATGATTTCTGAATTACTGGTAGTAAAGTTAAAGTTTGGCTAATAATATCCCTAATCTATTTTAAGACTATAGGTGAGATACCATCAGAGCCCTGTGATTTATTTATTCTGAGCTTAGCTAGGCTTTGTAGCACATCAGCCTCAGTTATACATATAATGGTCAAAGACAAAGCTGGATTAGGAATGTTACTCAAGCAAAATGATCATTACACTCATTAACTATATCGATTTCATTTTCATTTATAAGATCAATACTATACTGTAGATTATAGCCTTTGGCTTTTAGAGCTCTTTTGGAGTTAAAATATTGGAAGAATCTTTTAATGTTACCCTTAGCCTTTAATGTAAGCTTCCTTTCGACATTACTTTTAGCAAGTCTCATATTATTTACCTCAACCTGTAGACTTAGATACTCCTGCTTTATTCTGACATCATTATTTTCCATTTGTGGTACAGATCCCTTTTCCTCCTGATTGATTTTATTCTTAATTTCAGTAGTTAACCACCTTGGTTGGAGTTTCCTAGATTTAGTTTTGCTGGAAACAGGTATGAAGTCCTCCTGCGTTTGCAATAATGTGCTTTTAAAAAAATTCCTATGCCTCTTCAATTCCATCCAGTCTACAGATTCTAGTTTCAGTCTCATACCATTAATGTAACTAACAGTGGCGGAAGAACTGCACACAAGGCCCCGGGGTTAAACACTGATTGCGCACACGCACACACACACACGTATATGTGACAGCGCTGAAACGAGTTCTGAAGTGTGGGTGCATGAACACAAAAAACTTAACGAGAGAATTTGACTGTAAAGTTTTACTGGCTAAATTGCATTTTCTACGCCTTTTCAGACTGGAGGAGATTTGTTTGGCTATGCCTAGAAAACAACGTTGTTACCAGTGTGGAGACCGTCAGAGTTTTACCAAGGACAATAATTCCACCTCCAGCTGCCTGCCCATCTCATCCATTTCTGTTGCAAAAATTACAGTGTATTGTCTAAGTGAATAGGGTGTAGGTTAATTAGTGTGCACGCACCGTCTTCCTCATTCTCATAATGCGCCCATGCATCCGGGTATAGCCCATTCAAATGTCAATAGCCCATTCAAATATCATGTAGCCTAACTTTTTATACAGT